ACCAATAACCGGTTATCTATACCAATTACCTTTGATGGTTCATTAACAAGCTTTAATAGCATTTACATGCTTCTGCGGAATAAACTTGTTTAAACATCTAGCTCTATCTAAAAATAACGTGAATATACATCGACTAACAATGCAATCAAGGACTAGATAGTTATCTGGATCTAATTCATATTGTTCCTTCACTTAACACATCATCCTGTTTTTAAACTATACACTATCCTGTAATATCTTTCCTTCCGACCACTGCCTGCCTAATTTCATATTTCGAGTTCCATTGCCAAACAACAAGGATGACACTTCTCCAAAAACACGGTGAGTTCCAGCTATAAGTTTTCTGCAATCATAAGTTCATTTTAGATGGTTCATTCAATGGCACACACAATTATCTGGATTCATTCAGTTGTTCTGATCAGAGCGAGTCCCAAAAACCTCAACAGCATCGAGCACCCTGAAAGTGATTACCATACTGCATGTTTTATTCTGGATACTTTTGGATCATTACTACTCCTCACGAATGGCTTTATATATGTTGTCCACTGAATAATCTAATTTTCAAAAATAACCCAGGCGAGTTCAACTATTTTACTGGATGATTTTTTTTACTTAACATGTATGTGTTTTCCGGTTCCTTTTGCTATATATTTGTAAGTGTCCCTAGGTTAAATGCAGTAACTTCTTATGGAATGTTTATAACGCATCATATTCCTGCCTGAAGTTTCACAAGCAGTCTTAACTTTAAAACTATTTTCCGGTCATGTTCATTATTTTTAAATCGTCACATACGTCAACAACCTGCATGTTAACCTGGCCCATACATACGTTACACTATATCTCCATGTCTTCTAAATTTAGAAATCATTTGGATCGCCTTTAACATTTATCAATAAACCCATCATAGTCGTTGTTGCTAATCGTATTTGGGTTTATGGATTGGTTTATCATATTAGCAGCCTAAAATGCGAACATAGTTTAGATAATAAGATTAAAAATTTAGGTACTATCAACTGCACTAGTAAAATAACTAAATCCCCAGATAACTGTTGGCTAAACAAAACTCCGTAGCCTACTAGAATTAACACTAAACGAATATTTCTGAATTGAAATTTATAATGAAATTAGGCGTCTCGGATTCTTTAACGTTATAAGTTTCTGATGATTTCGAATCACCTAAAGCAACAATACCTATTTTTCCACTGACTAATCCTTAATCAACACTATAACTAGTTAAATTTAATGGTTTCAGGATATCGTCATAAAGCATTGTCATTACTTGACAATCACGTAATATGACTGATAAAATTAATGAAACTATTAACGAAATCGGTCAACAAATTGACTTATAATTATCACTAGTGTTGTTTTTCTTTTATCTTCATTCACTACAGATGATTACAGTATGTTTCTCTATCAGCTGCTCATTCAGTAAATATCTCAAAACCTTGTCAGTCTAATTGATGGTTTAGCGACACAATCATGCATGCAAATAATCAGTATAAGCAGTCGAGCAAATCTCCTGCAAACTGAAAACATCAATGTCGAATTTACCCCAACACTGACTAAGGTTCAAGCCATTATCATAGACATGAGTTGGGAGTGTACTCCACCTGGTTACAACTTATGTTCTCCCTGATAATCACATGAGCATCACTAACTATTAATCATCTTGTAAAAACTTATTTAGCTGAATACATCTTACAGCACCACATCACTTCGTAATATGACACATAGGCTTAACTGATTTTAATAACTTATAACCACTATATCTGAATTAAATCGTATTTCACCTTATGATTAACTGCATACTTGCAACTAACTTGTATGCTTAATGAGCCGTCAAATATAAATATAAATAAATAGTCTATCGCAGATCAGAACATTGAGTCTAGAGCATGTCTCTTACGAACACACTCATGTTTAACGATTTTTCCTAGCTATCTGTCCAAAATCCATATAATTATCACTCATGTATTTAAATTTTATTTTGATAACCATTCATGTGTATTAGTAGTATTACTAAATTCTATCACAGTCAAGTAAAAATGAGGTTGAGAAAATCTCTCCGTAACTAAATAAACCGTATCAAACTAACTGGAACACTAGTTGGAATTCTCCACGGTAATACTTTTGTTCCTTCAGTTAGCCTACTAATACAGATGTAATTGGAAATCAATTCATATGGACAGCTTATCGTCATAATCGTTATTTGATTTCATAATTTAAACCAAAACTAATACCAATATTAACATTTCTACAATATTGATTACTTTAATATTTCTAAACACAAAATACTTACTACCTAAACGTTAAGTTATTAACCAACGGCTATTAACACGCATCGTTTTATTATTATTATTGTAATCCCGTTTTTTATAGCTCAAATAATCTTCACCCAAATTGTCATTTTAAGTGTGTTAAGCATGAAGGCAGATTTTTAAAAAAATTATTACATGTATTTCCCGACCAGATGCTGCCGCTTTCTTTTTGATTTATCTTTCAGCTTACCAATACTCGGAGGATTCTTATTATCCTTGGTAACCTCCGGCGCGTGACGATCCCATCCAATTTGGTATCGAAACAACATCACGTTGATTCTGGTGGGAGAGTAGTGTAGTGGCATTGGACAATAGCCACACAATCCACAAAGCTGAACACGAGACTACTCAGAAAATAGATACTCAATATTTAACGCGGAGAAATACCTAACGATGGAGAAGGCGCGAATAAGGAATTGAATGGATTGGAGTTGATCGGATGGCATGGCTCGACCATGCAGGCGTGGTCCATCTGAATTTTACCTTATATCTTCTATTCATATTAAATATATTGTTCTTTCTCTAGCCTAACCTTATTCCTCATCATGTATTGGTAATTGATACGATACAGTGAGTTGGTGTAGTCGATGGTGTGACTTCCACGTAAGATCTTATAGATTAGGCAGTTATATCATGACAAATCTACAAATTTAGGATTAGGTCTATTATAAGAGCAGTACTAATATCATAGTAGACCGTAATTCAACAAGGTAACCATGCCTAACCACATTGCTTGAATGGAACAATAGAGGTAGGTGATTGTATATTCTCACTCTGCCTAAGGTGTTTCTACATAGGGCTTTCAAGATGTTAATGAGCTTTTCCAGCACATCATTCTTCAATAGACAATCCTTGAGAACAGTCCTTTGTAAAGAATTAAGGTCATGCAGAAAATGCATGTTTATCAATAAGGGTTACCTATCGTTCAATATTATCTACAGCTAATTCTAAACAGTCTACAATTATTGTTGGATCTAAGTCTTCTGCAGCTAAACCGCCATCTTTACAACGGATCCTAGGTGAGTCATCTGGCCTTGGTGATTTTTAACGCTCCGAGAGTTGGAGTTCCTGAGGAAGTCCGCCTTGTTTGGTGGGTCAGTCGTCATAGGCCATAGAGGGTAGGACAGTCTGATCAATATTGTCGGGGCAGCAGACCATTTGAACTGATCCTCCAAAAAACTCTGCTGATCGTCCAAGACGTCGAAATATAGTAGTTGCTGGCATCCCGTAACCTTCATAGATTGTTACACTCACACTAGACTTCTTGCTATCAGTGACTCGGTTGAGTTGAAGGAGCTTCCGTTAGTTATCAGGTGCGGCTGCTGCACGCTAGAGCTACAGGCTCTAATGAGTTCTAGGGAACCCGTAGAAACCCGGTGATTGTAGGCAGCAATTTTCGTGAAACCGCGAGCGACTTTAGTCACCTTTTTCATGGCTGTACAAAATTGCAACTAGCACTCATTCATGCTTCATGGTGGGTTGGCAGCTAGCCGTGAACTTAGCTCGGTTTGGTATGTAGTTGCAACAGAAGCTACTAACAATTCGCTGATATCAATACGTGTAGGACGATGAATTTGTTGGCCAACGAAAAGTAAGGTCAGATTAACGCAAACAAGAGAGTGATTAGAGTCCAAATATTTACGCCGAAAGGAGCGCCATTATAGCACACAACCATGCCAGCCTAGGTGATCGCAATGTGATCAACACGAGTCTATTTTTGAGATGCAGCATTCAAATTTCGACCATTCAGTGACTTGAAATCATTTACATAGGACAGGATTCCCACCACAAGCTAATGACAACAACGTCATTGTCGTTAGTTTAGACACGCTGTGACTTCTAGTTCGTTAAAGCTAAGGAATCAGGGACCCCACGAGTCTTGTAACGTGTGGGAAATTTACCACTGTATACATACCTAATAAGATCCAGATCAGGCTCGGATATCTTGGAAAAAGTATAAGAGACGATTATCAACGTAATTATGGAATTCTGAAGTTCAGAATACACAGTGAGTTAGACCATACTGAGCTATTTAGTTGTGGAATGAAGAGATATAATCATGATGTGTAAGGTAATATGTGATGACTTCGAACATGTTATATATTCCCCATTTCCTCTGCCTGAGTTAGGTTAACTGGGGGGACATGATGAGTACGCTTACAAGTCAGCAACGGATAAACTTCATGTGGTATGAAGATCTTATTGCCGTGTAATTAGCTTACAGATGAAACAATTATTCGAAGTTTGATGACGCTTTAACTAGCAACACTTTTTGTAATCAAAATATGCCAACCCATTTAAATCAAAAGTCAGGAGCGAAGAGGTTCGAAGATATATTTGATAGACTATCGATATATCTGGAAGTGATAAATCTAAGCTGGCTATCGGTCGTAAGAGATATGAGGCTCGGCGTACCAACTCGTGATCTGGCGCGGGTGCGTGACTGTATGCCTTCATCTAGGTTGTCGCATTAAAGCTAATGCGGCCAGCATCAAATGTCGAAGAATTGATTTCGGGGATTTATTTACCACTACGACGGGGTGAAATAGAGTCCAAACACCGAACTCACTGACTCAAGAGAGGACAATAGACTCATGTTATCCCCCTAGAAAATGGTGAATACCGAATTTCAGCCTTCTGTCCACAATAAGCAAACTTGGATCTGAATCTATTGAAAATCGGAAAGTTTGAGCGCTCTGTTTGGAATTGTACGGTCAGGTGAGTAGGTTCATCCTGCGAAGTATTCGTTTTAAGACACAGATCTGGTAAAATTTTGAAATAAGATCACCATGAAGTTTTATTTTTAGTCTGAAAGTCAATTTATTCATTTAAGTAGGCCTATCCTTCGGTTGTTATTGTGTAGATTTGACTATTTCCGTTTTTAAATGATTTTGATCTGAAGTAATTTCTAAGCTCACTTATATGATGACTGTTAGAATTTTACCTCCAAATGTCCATAGATTTATCTAGGGACTTTCCACCATAGTGGGAATTAATTAATACAGTTAACGGAGATAAGAATAATTTCTACCAACAATTTTAATAACTACATAGGGTGTTACATTCGACGTAATACAACGAACCATTTGTGCCCAACCGGTATTGGACCCTACTGAAAAATAACCAACTCACTAATCATGATATTTCCAGATTTCGTAGTCTATAAAAGCACAAATATACACTAAGTTCGATTCCTCTGAGTACTTTACGTATAACTGTTTTGAAAACTTCACTCAACGCTGTATGAGTGAACACAATCTCAAAAAACGCCAATAGGTGAGACCATAATTTATGGACGAACCAATCAGATATAGGTTATCAGGTCTTGAATTTTGGTGCGAAATTCATTCATCCATTTGGCCAAATGGCGTTTTGGCGTTTTAACTGGTTTCAGTTCGTTATGAAAGCCTTAAATATAGTTACTAACCACAACCACTACCTGTATATAATGATCCTAATTTCCCACAGCGGTTTACAGCCCTCAGTCCTAGTTAGTAGACGGACATTCTAAAGGTCACTCTAGCGTCGCCATAAGGTTGTCCATAAATTATAGACTCAATCATCAATTCTAACACTCCGATCTAGATGATGGGTAGTGAAGTTTACTTGACTAATTATAAAGTCAACGTTACAGTAGTTCGTGTTCATATAAACATGCCAAGAGGATTGATATCTTGAGTCCACTGTAGGTTATTCATTTTTACCTTCTGGCAAGTTAGTTTTTGAAATTTCAATTTCATCTAAGATGGTACCCATTTTGTCAATATAATCACTTTTACTAAGAAAGACAACTGAACCTTTGTTAGGTTTCGTAATCAATAACGTCTCATCCTTTTGGAGCATGTTGATAGCGTCCTTTTACTTTTTTGTAAAAATGCTTTTTTAATTAAATTTTTTTTATGCTGGTAACAACAATTTACAAAGTTTGATTTCAAATATTATAGTTGTTGACCGGAATTCGCAAATAAATGCCATGACTATATAAATAGTCAAACTATATACCTGTTTGTGGTTAGAGTGATTCCGGGTATCACAGAATTTCATACTTAAGGATAATATTTCTGGTTTTTCCTTATCTAGTTCAACACTTAAAAAATTATGGACATCGGTTTTGCAACAAGCTAGAAATTTACTTTCAACTGTTTAATTCTTCAGACTTTTCAATAGCTGGATACGTTTCGTCTCTGCTCTCTGTTCCATAACGTTCGTAACATAGTCCATAAAGAGCATTCTCAAACCATCCATTAGGTCGTCTACAGCATATTTTCTGCGAAAATAATTTATTTACATCTCTTCAATACCGGAATGCAAAGTGTCAATCTGGTTCAGGACGTAGCGTTTCAGTATTTTTCTATTTTGGTAAACTCCGTTCCGTCGTAACAATGTATGGTATAATTTTGAGTGGTGACTTGAGTCAGTGCAGTTGTTGATAAATTCCCTAACAGTTTTCGTCCCAACGGACTTTACATCATACTTCAGGAACTCATTGAACTCCTTCAACGCAATGGGTTGTTCACAACTCTTTAATTATTTAAACATCCCAGTCATATTAAGAGACTAATATACGGACGAAAAATATTGTTTTCAGTTAATTCTCTTCAGGTTCTAGAATCATATATCCAAATTAATAATCCGAAAAGTGGTCAGGTTCACGAAAAAGTGCATCGTTTAAAGTTATAGCATGTGAATTTAGGATTATTAAATAAAATAAAATTGTTAATGTTGAGATGACTCGTATGTAGTGCTAATTAGAATCAGCTTATATGTTGAGTGAAATTAAAAGATTCACAATCAGAATAAATATGTATCAGGTCAGACTAAATTATTTATTCACATGTCAAGAAAGACAAATCTGAACAGTTCTTCCACTGACCGTTTCTAGCTTACTTGATTCTGAGCCGAGTTGTACTACCGCCTTACTAAACTGTTCTTAAACGTGAATTACTAATTTAGAGCTGATAAAAATAGTTTGACAGCACCATCAAACATCTGGTTCCAGAAACCATATTCAGTTTATAATCCATGCACTAATCAAAACTGAGACCACTTGTTTTATTTTGCTATGAAAATAATAAAACAAAGGAAATAAGGCTTTGAAATAGCTTCGCGGTGACTGGCTTCATCCTGATCCATACTATCTACCACTACCTTAATTCACGACTCAATGTTAGGAGTCAAATCACTCTAAATCAATAGATTGTAGGTCTTAACCGGGGCCCATTTTAAATAAATAGTTCTTATACAAAAATATATGACTCATGGCCGATTACTTAGAGTACATATGATTTTCCTGTGAGACTATAATTTATGGACGACCTCTGGGCGACACTAAAGTAGTCTTGAGAATGTCCCCCTACTGACCAGGGCTAAATGAGGGTTTCAAACCTGTGTGAAGTATGAAGATTGTGATTTGCAGTTGATGGTTAGGGATAGGGATTAGATTTAGTGTTTTCATCACGAACTGATATCAGCTCAAATGTCAAGATGCTATATAGTCAAATGGATAAAGAATTTCGCGCCGAACTCCAAGACCTGTTATCGTAAATCTGATTGGTTCGTCCATGAATTATAGTCTCGCCGATTTTCCGTTTTCAACAGTATCAGATTGTCTTTTTGGTGATTCTTACTTTGGATTTTTAGTGATCGGAAGTTCTTCCAGCTAACACACTCTACTGAATAACGGACTTACAACCAATTAGTCATGGGTCTAAACCGCGCTCCAGTTTGACCAACAAATAGTACTAATAAAACTTAGAAGTTAGTACATAAACTTATACGTAGTAAATAAGTTAGATTTAAAAATTAAGAGGAACGTCCGCTTCATCATCTGACAAGATTGTACTAAACCAATATTTCGTTAGTATACAAAGTTTGTCCATCTTTTCTTAGATCGCAAAGTTGGTGTCTCATTTATATATTTCTACTATTTGGTTTTTTGTTATCCGCAATCTTTTCTTAGACAAATTTAACATCAATCTGTAATGTAATTTTATTTCTGTTGTTTTTATTTCATATTAGCAGGTTCATAAGCAGACATTGACGTTGAATTATTTGATGGCTACTGCTTCTAAAACAGAAAGTAGACTTGTTACAGAGCAAAATATTTTCAATTATTGCATCTCTGGTGATTTGAAATCATTAAAAGAATGTGCACGTTCTGTTGGTCAAGTAGTTCATAAAAATTCACTTGATGGTCAAACTTGTCTCATTGTAGCATGTAGAAATGGTAACTTTGCTCTTTTTCTCATTGTGAATCATGTCATCTAGGACATTTAGATGTTGCCGAATACTTAATCGACTGTCATGGGGCAGATGTTGAACAAGTCAGTTTCTTATACTGTATAGTTTCAGCTTTTACAGGAATTTTTGCACTCGTAGTTAGCGAATAAATTGCTTTTAGATTTTTCTGCTTTCACAACTAAGTTCAACTATGTTGGTTGCTTGAACTGGTCCCTGACGAGTCCCAAATGGGACGAATTGCAAGCCATGGATTCCATTCCAAGCCACTGTCCATCTCTGCTTAGATTTAGATAGTTTTAAATTATTGCAATATTGCAATTCAGTGTGCTCAATTCGTCCTTTCACACATCTATTGCACTAGTGTTCACTACATTTGATTTTTAAACTATACTATTAAAGCCACTGCATTTGCAGCTCGTTTTTAAATGCATTTCGCTCTGGAAGTACATAGTACACTCGGTTTTAAGTAACACTTTACACATATGATACCTAGTGCTACTTTTTAGTTGCCGAAATCATAATGGATGCAATGGTGTTCGATGATCTACTAATTAAACTCCAATTTCTCTGACCATAAATCCACTGCTCTAATGTATCTGACGATTTTGAATTGACAGCTTTGGTATTCCAACAATCTTCTGAATTCTAAACATAATTTTCCGACACTGATAATAAAGTAATTTATGTTCTCTTGATCGATGTTGTAATTTTTCAGTTTTGATGAAATAATCTTTTCTGTTATTCATAGGCTAGATCTCATTTTCTTTTAAATAATTATAGTGTACAATTAAAATGTTGAAATCAATTCTCGATAAATTTTTCATGTTGCTCTTCACATTACTTTGTGCCACCAATGAATATAGTAAATAGGAGTGAACATGATATCTACAAATTGAGCCGTTACATATTTGTGTCTGACCATACATTGACCATTACTGACTTGGAATAACAATCATAAAGAGTAAAATTTTAGATTCTCTTCGTTTTACAACAAGGACTTTTTTATATGACTTACACCAGTTTTGGTAGTAATCTTTTTTCTTACAATAACTTTTTAACTGTACTAAACTCAAATATTCAAGAATTTTCGTAAATACAATGTAGAGTGGAGGGATTAATTAAATACAATCCGGTAAGCAAACACATATTCATGTCGAGTCGAGTCACCTAGACTGGTGGCCACATTGCAACATGATCGATAGCATTCGATCTGCACTAATAAGGACTAGACAAGCATGACATTGATCACCACCCAGTGATCAATCAATTGTGATTACATATTCATGTGTTTAGTTTCAACTAATAAATTCTATGTAAAAAAGATAGTGATGATATCTGAGAGTCCATACCTGGAATCGGTAGCCAAGCGAATCACATGATGGCGTTTGAAGCAAGCGATACTGAGTTCGAGCCCCGGAGTGAACATCAACGTCCGGTTACAAGCACACCCAGCTGACGAGTCCGAAACAGGACAAAACTCGCTTCCTAGATTCCACTACTAACCACTTTCCATCAGTAGTCATAAATGATTCTTATTGTGATGACAGGAAAAATAGGTGTATAATATAATATTATATAGTATTATTGGGCACATTATTTTGTTAAAAACGTATCTTACTTAGATTTCTGGTCATAAAATTTACATAATGAAGGTTAACTCATTCGTTTTTGCTCGTATATTTTTCCAAGGTTGGTGTTGTAGAATTTGAAGGAGAACAAGTAGAAGGTGTACCTCCACTATGGTGTGCTTCAGCAGCTGGACATTTGAAATTAGTTGAATTGTTAATTAGTCGTGGTGCAGACGTTAATCGAACAACAATTACCAATTCAACAGCTCTTCGTGCTGCTTGCTTTGATGGACATGAACAAGTGCGTTTCTTTCTCAGCAAGATATGATCACTTGTTTTTTTATGTTTACAGATTTTTCTATGTTAAAATTTGAGTGATATGCAGTCGATTTTTTTTTAACTGCTTGATTTAAATAACCTATTTCTATACGTTATTTATTCTCAAACTTGATAAATCTTTTCTCTGTCTCTATAAAACAAAAGAATACTGCACACTTTGTGTTATTGTCAAGAAGCTTACCAAATGGTGATAGGAAGATAAGTGTTTGGATAAGCGTTTCCGGAGCGTAGTTTGTATCTGATGGGACTGAAGTGAGTAAATGAATTAGCGTCTAGCAATGGAATTTGGATGCTTGCCGTTTCGTCCTGACTAGGACTCATCAGTTGCATGTACTAGTATGATAGTGCTAATGTTCACACCCAGATGAAAACCCATTCCCTTTCGTCTCAAATGCCCAATTAGTTATCTCGTTGTTGGTAATATTGACTGAATTTTAATCACTTTGTTAGTACGTATGTACCCTGTTGGAGTTACCTCGCTAAAGCTATTTCTCTACGTTTTTTTCACGAAATAGATGGATTTGTGGCTAGTAGTGAAATCTAGTCAGGCTAAACAACCCAAATGCCCTGGTACGGCCGAAAGTGGAGAGGGTCCGCTCTCCCTCTCGAAATGCTCTCACATGGCCACGCATACACAGCGACTTCCAGAAGTCCTACTCACTGCCTTCTCGCACAACGGTTGTTGTTTACGAAAATGAGAGGACGAAAAGCGAATGTCCGGTGTTTTAAGCGGATCCCAAACCAATGGTGTGCGTGAGCTCCAGTATCTTAAAGGAACAAATGAAGTAAGAACCTATTGTTGGTCATTGGCTACCATAGGACTTCATCTCCTTACGATGCTCCACTGCCTTGTGGATCAGACCTTCAGGTCGAAGGCTCGGGGTGTGGTCCCCTAAGAAAACTACCTGCTTCGGTTTGGACACCCTGGCAGTATCACAGCCCTCACACATGTCGAATGAGATTTGTGTGGCGCATATGTATTTGGTGCCTCTTTGTACCAATATCTATGTGTTGAAACAAACTAAAATAAAATAAACCGATTAATTCAAATCCTTTCTAATAATAATGCAAATAACATGCCGATAGCACAAGCAAGTGGCTATCTGGACTCAGTAATTCAGTGAATAACTAATTGAGCATTTGAAACGAAAGGGAATGGGTTTAAATCTGGGTGTGAACATTAACACTATTATACTAGTACATGCAACTGATGAGTCCTAGTCGGGAAGAAGCGGCAACCATCCAAATTCCACTACTAGACGCTGATCTATCTGCTTTATGAAAAACTTGCTACATAGCATTTTTGTAGAGTCAGTCACAGAATAAACATGTACCAAAACGGATTGCTCAAAACTCCGTTAAGATTATTAAAAACGTGACAGCTTAAATCCTTTCCAATGGTAATACAGTAAGTAAAACCATAGTTGAGTGTATGGTAAATGGTAATTTGGAATAAGTGCATCATTATACAAGATTCGTGCTTTTCTTTCAAAAAGAGAGATATTTCTTTCTGTTTGAATAATTCTTTTTTCTTCATTCTATAAAGGTTGTTCGATATCTTGTTGAACATGGAGCAAATATTGAAAATCCAAATCGCCACGGCCATACTTGTCTCATGATTAGTTGTTATCGTCGTCATGATAGTATTGTAGAATATCTACTTAGTAAAAATGCTCGAGTTAATCGAAGAAGTGCTAAAGGTTAGTTCATAAATTTCCTTGTATATTTTTATGTCTATCTCTTAAGTGACTAGTGATTTGATACAATCATGCATGAATGAAGTAATAGTTGAGTAATTTGAAGTCAGTTTTGTTTGTAAACTAGTATTGACTGGAGAATTGTAGGAAACTAAGGAACACTTAACTACTCGAGATAGTTTGATATTATTTAGCAGTATACATCTACAATTTCCGTCATGTCGTACACTGCACTCTTAATATATTGATAATAATATCCACTTTACACTTCTCAATGAAGCTTGAAATAATGATTTGAAGTTCTTACTTAGTAGTTAGGGCACTCGAATCTTTCAACATTAACGTTTCAAGTTCAAATCGTACCTGCTACACCTCAATTTCATCAACTGGATGGTAGAAGTAGTTCATAATTTTCTTCAGGAACCACTGACATTAGTGAGGTAATTACATGAATCTAAATAGCTGATTCGTTCAAGTATAGAACTCCTCAACAGTGTGCACTCACAATATCACATGAACCTTCATGTGATTCGGTATTTAAGGCTTAAGTGCTCTCTGAGAGACCTGAATGGCTTGTGTTAAACCCCCGACTGGATGAACGATGCCCATGGTTGAGGAGTTGTATACTAAAACGAAACAACTGTCCAGTTCCTCCTAATTTTCACTGGTTGCCTGACAAATGCCAGTTTGTTATGTAAAGCACATAATTCAGCAATGTCTATTAACCCCTTATATTGAGGATAGTAGCAACGTTGAGATCTAAACGAAAACATATCTAGAATTCAATTATTAAAACTCGGTACTTGTGTTCTACTACTAATTATATTTAATAACATTATCATTGTTATTAAAATCTTGTGTGTAAAGATTGATCACGCAAATTTCACTTTCGGTTATCTCATGTAGATATGAGATTATTATCAAGTGAAAAATTTTGTGCTCGTTAAACTAGTGCGTTGTAAATCGATTTTTTCGCTCGCTCACTAGCTCTTTCTCTCTCTCTCTCTCTTGTTCTCTCTATTGATTTATACATAATTGAGAAAAACTGAAAATGTGATTGATTAAAGTTAAGAAACATAAAGCAAATGACATCAAGTGATTTTCATTTCTTTGTATAGTTATCTAACATATAATTAGCAATCAAATTGATTACAAGTTAGTAACCAAGTACATGCTTGGGTCATTGAACCACTGGGTCCTGTTTGCTGCCATTATAACATTAGTCTAGATGTAAAACGTCGGGTTTACTGTACGTCAGCGAAAACGGTTCCACTCATGATTTATGAAAATTGGCTCCTTCAAGCTGATGTTGTTTGGTGACTTATTGTTCAATCATCACCATCTCTAAAAGAATGCTTCCATCTAGTAGTAGCACCAAGTTAATAATGTCGACGTTCGGTATAGTACGTTCAGGCACAGTGGTAATGATTCAATTGATACCACTATTTTAAAATTCTTACTTCAGTGTCTTGATTATGTCTTGCAAATTTTATTCAATCGACTTCCAAATTGCATATTATTTTCTGACGCAGGGACTGTTTAGAAACAAGGGAAATATGGCCAATTTATGACATAGTAGGATGGTAAGAAAGGTAACTGTATATGATTGCTACTGTCAGTTCATCATAATTCCTGAGTGTAAGTCCTAAAGATGGGGCAACTCAGTGGTTTCGGACATTATCGGATTTCTTAGAATATAATCCAATCGTGATCCTGATGTAGTTCTTGACTACATTTTATAAAAGTAAGATGATCTTTTACTGAAAGAACCCTTTCTTTGTGAACTTCAAATAAACTGTACCTATCAATAAATATTATTTCTGTTCATTTCTTCGTTGGCTATTCATCTTCTTTCCCACTTATTTCATCACAACACTAGTGATTCATTTAAGTGATCCATTTTTATTTTGTTTCCCGAAAGCATCAGAATTTATGTGCTTTGGACAAAGAAATTTCAAACTACATATTTAACCTAGCAGTTAGTTTTACTGCTAATTAGTTGTCCACTATTGTAGGATGTAGGGAACAGATCTTGAAATCATGCGTTTTGAACGGCTAAAAATCGAAGGGCTTTAGACCAATAAACTATTACTTTCGCACTGTTAAGGAAATTTATCACATCAGTATAGCGGGATTTGTAGAGATTGTAGAATTTTCATAAGTTAAATCACGAGTCACTGAAAACCTGGAAGTACTAGGCAACTATTTCTCCCCAATATAAGACGACTCAACAGTGCGTATCCGTGATCCAACGTCCGAGAATTGAATCCAGGACCTTCAATCTTGCGCGCGTGAAAGCTTAACTCCTAGACCACTAAGCGAGCGATCCGACGGTGTACAAGTCTAACCTTAATCAATACACGAGATATCGTTGTTTTTCTACCGTTATGTGTGTTACTGTTATCCAAGATCTACTACTACAAAATTTTTCGCTTGGTAATAATTTCATATCTATATGAGATGTTCGAAAGAGAAATTCGCGTAATCAATTCTCACATACAAGATTTTAATAATAATAGTAATAATAATAACAATAATAATAATAATAAATATAGTTAGTAGTAGTACTGTGGTGTGTGTTAATGATGTCGATAGTTATAAGTAGTATGTATCAACAGTCGAAAGTGAAATGTCTGACGGCAGAAGGTTAAGAAGATCGAAGGAAAGAGAAATAAAACAAAGAGTGGTTGGTATGGAGAGGGAAGAACAATGGAGTTTAAGGTGATTGATTGACATTTTGCAAAAGGAACAGTCATGTTTGAGACAATTGTTTAACATTTTGCAAATGTAAATGGTTCTCAGATCTTACTAAGTGATTCTGTAATTTTGCGTTGAAATAAATTCGGTTGTCCTCACTTGTGTTCTCGTTCGCTATATTTGGTGTCGCTGTCAACCAGAAGGGAGGAAAGGTGATGTTCTGAGGACGCCGTTGCGGACCTGGAGCTGAGGTGCTAGAAGGTGACGTCAAGTGGAGTGTTCTGGCGGAGTGGCGTTGGCTGTAGCGGGTTTTGTCGACGGAGAGAAGTGGGATGTGCGGCTACTGGGTGGACATCGGATGTAGATGGCTCAGCAGGTCTCTGGAGCTCAGGCGTTTAACATCTCGGGTGCCGGGTGAACATTCAGTTGTCCCCACTTATGTTCTCGTTCACCACAGTACACAAGTACCGAGTTTTAATAATTGAATTCTAGATATGTTTCTGTTTAGATCTCAACGTTGCTACTATCCTCAATATAAGGGGTTAATAGACATTGCTGAATTATGTGCTTCACATAACAAACTGGCATTTGTCAGGCAACCAGTGAAAACTAGGAGGAACTGGACAGTTGTTTCGTTTTAGTATACAACTCCTCAACCATGGGCATCGTTTATCCAGTCGGGGGTTTAACACAAGGCATTCAGGTCTCTCAGAGAGCGTTTAAGCCTTAAAATATCGAATCACATGAAGGTTCATGTGATATTGTGAGTGCACACTGTTGAAGAGTTCTATACTTGAACGAATCAGCTATTTAGTTTCCTGTAATTTGTGTTGGTCAGTATCTGATATAATCCTTAACTTCGTATATAGTTCGTCTTGATAACCGTTCTATATAACTCCCCAACGGTATAGTAATCAGAAGGCAAATACGAAATGCTGATTACGTTTATTGCGAGACCACACACATATATCCAAATGTACAGATGCGTTAAACAAGCATAGAGGAGTTGTGCCAAAAAGCAAGCAAGCGAGCGAGAGCAAGAGCGAGACGAGAGGGTGTGTTTTAAATATGAATAACATGGACATATATACACCATGTGAAATGAATGAGTAATCGAATCAAATAATCAGTTAGTAGTAAGACTAGCAGAGTGAATAAATGCGTAGGCAGTAAGCAATATTCAAGCATACGTATCTCATACAAGCACAAAATAGTAAGGGTACAATAAGTTGTTATAGTGCGGATGACTTTGTCCGCTAAATAAGTTAGCAAAAGGGCTTAACTGAGTTAAATGTGAATGAACTCAATTGCACGTGAGTCACTATAAATTACCTCACTAATATCGGTTCCTGAAGAAAATTATGAACTACTACTACTACCATCCAGTTGATCGAATTGAGGTGTATTAGGTAGGATTTGAACTTGAAACGTTAATGTTGAAAGATTCGAGTGCCCTAACTACTAAGTAAGAACTTCAAATCATTATTTCAAGCTTCATTGAGAAGTGTAAAGTGGATATTATTATCAATATATTAAGAGTGCAGTGTACGACAGGACTTACTTACTTACTTACGCCTGTTACTCCTCGTGAAGGAGCATAGGCCGCTCACCAGCGTTCTCCATCCAACCCTGTCCTGGGCAATCCTTTCTAGCTCCGTCCAGTTGTAATTCATCGTTTTCATATCTGCTTCTATTATCCGACGCAATGTGTTCTTTGGCCTTCCTCTTTTTCGCTTCCCTTCAGGATTCCAAGTTAGGGCTTGCCTCGTGATGCAGCTTGACGATTTGCGTAATGTATGTCCTATCCATTTCCATCGTCTTTTCCTAATTTCTTCTTCAGCTGGAAGTTGGTTTGTTCTCTCCCACAGAAGGCTGTTGCTGATGGTATCCGGCCAATGGATGTTGAGTATCTTGCGAAGACAGCTATTTATAAATACTTGTACTTTCTTGATTGTGGTTGTTGTAGTTCTCCAAGTTTCAGCTCCATACAGTAGAACTGCCTTGACGTTGGTATTGAAGATTCTCACTTTGATATTGGTTGAAAGTTGTTTTGAGTTCCATATGTTCTTCAATTGTAGGAATGCGACCCTTGCTTTGCCGATCCTCGCCTTTACGTCTGCATCTGAGCCTCCTTGTTCATCGATGATGCTTCCCAGATATGTGAAGGATTCTACATCTTCCAGAGTTTCGCCATCAAGAGTGATTGGATTACCGTTTTCCGCTTTGAATTTGAGGACCTTGGTTTTCCCTTTGTGTATGCTGAGGCCTACTGATGCAGAGACTGCTGCTACACTGGCTGTCTTTGTCTGCATCTGTTCGTGTGTATGTGATAGGAGGGCTAGGTCATCTGCGAAGTCCAAATCGTCTAATTGGTTCTGAGCTGGTCAATGTATTCCGTGTTTTACTTTAGATGTTGAGGTCTTCATAATCCAATCGACCACCAGAAGAAAGAGGAAGGGAGAGAGTAAACAGCCTTGTCTGACTCCGGTCCTTACTTGGAATGCATCTGTCAGCTGTCCTCCATGCACTACTTTGCACTGTAGTCCGTCGTATGAGTTCCGGATAATATTGACAATCTTCTCAGGAACTCCGTAGTGTCGAAGAAGTTTCCATAACATCCTCCTATCTACACTGTCGAATGCCTTTTCATAATCAATGAAGTTGATGTATAGTGATGAGTTCCACTCAACTGATTGTTCGACGATGATCCGTAGTGTTGCAATTTGGTCTGTGCACGACCGATCCTTACGGAATCCAGCTCGTTGATCTCGAAGTTGGGCGTCTACTGCATCTTTCATCCGGTTCAGCAACAATCTGTTGAAGACTTTCCCTGGTATTGACAGTAGTGTAATGCCTCTGTAGTTTTCACATTTGCTCAGATCTCCTTTCTTTGGAATCTTGACGAGGTGTCCTTCTTTCCAGTCCATTGGCACTTGTTCCTCCTCCCAAATCTTTTTGAATAGAAGATAAAGCATGCTTGTGGTTGCTTCGATGTCTGATTTCAGTGCTTCAGCTGGTATGTTGTCGGGTCCTGCTGCTTTCCCGTTCTTGATTTGTCTGACGGCCATTCTAATTTCTTCCGTAGTTGGTGGATTGACATCTATAGGAAGATCTATGTGTGCTGCTTCGATGTCCGGTGGATTCATTGGAGCCGGCCTATTCAGGAGTTCCTCGAAGTATTCTACCCATCTGTTACGTTGTTGTTGAATTTCGGTGATTGGCTTGCCTTCTTTGTCTTTGACCGGCCTCTCTGGTTTATTGTATTTCCCTGATAGTTTCTTCGTTGTATCGTAAAGCTGTTTCATATTTCCTTCTCTAGCAGCTTCTTCTGCCGTCGTTGCTAGTTCTTCGACGTATTTCTTCTTGTCGGCTCTAATGCTCCTCTTCACTTGTTTGTTTGCTTCTATGTATTCAGCTTGTGCTTGGAATTTCTCTGCTCGTGTTCGGCTGTTGTTTATTGCTGCCTTCTTGTTCTTCCTTTCTTTGATCTTGTCCACTGTTTCTGTAGAGATCCATTCCTTATGATGATATTTCTTTAGACCGAGAACCTCTTGACACGTTGAAGTTAATGCTTCCTTGATGCCTTTCCAGTTGTCCTCCATAGTAGTTTCTTCTTCTTTCAGTAGATCTCGTAAGGCTTGGAACCTGTTGTTGAGAGCTATCTTGAATTCATTGAGTTTGACAGTATCTCGAAGGAAGGCTGTATTGAACCTTTGTATTGCTGTTTGTCCACCTGTCCAGTTCTTTTTTAGCTTCATTTTCAAATTGGCTACAACTAGGTGGTGATCTGAAGCTACGTCAGCTCCTCTCCTGGTTCTCACATCTTCCATTGTCCTTCGGAATTTTTTGTTGATGCAAATATGATCTATTTGGTTCTCTGTAGTGTGGTCCGGTGAGATCCATGTAGCCTTGTGTATACGCTTGTGTGGAAATATTGTGCCTCCTATGACCAATTTGTTGAATGCACAAAAAAAAAAAAAAAAAAAAAAAAAAAAAAAAAAAAAAAAAAGTCCATGTCGTCCCATAATATCTTCATATCCAGTGTTGTCTATTCCGACTTTGGCATTTAGATCTCCCATTAGAATGGTGAGGTCCTTTCTTGGGCATTTCTTTATGATTGACTGCAGCCGCTCGTAGAATTGATCTTTAATGTCGTCGTTGCTATCATTAGTGGGTGCATAACATTGGATAATATTCATTAAGATCCCCTCCTTCTTTGTTTTGAATGATGTGTACGACAGGAAGGAAATCGGAAATTCATAAATAGTATTGTGGTGTGTGCTACTGTTGTCGAAAGATATAAGTTTTATATATCATAAGTTGAAAGTGAATTGCCTGGCGATAGAAGATTAAGATGATCGAAGAAAAGAGAACGAAAATAGGGAATGATTTGTGCTGAAATGAAGTATCAATGAAGTCTGAGACGATTGATTAACATTTTGTAAATGAATTAATTACTTTCACAGATTGAAATCATGAGTCAGTTGAAGCTATATTGTACAATGTAGTCTATTAATTATTATTATTATTATTATTATTATTATTATTATTATTATTATTATTATTAGCTTTATTCAATATTATAATTTTGGTACAATATAGAATTCTCAGCGCAAAGTATTTCAACAAGTTTCCGTTTCTTTCTTCTTGGTCGGTCCTGGCGATAAATATTGAGGAATCGCCAGTTAGATGTTAGCACTTCAGTGAATGAACAACTGAATAATGTACATTCTTTTCGTTGTACATTGCCAGCAACCATATTGTCTCTTATTGAGTTTTCTGTAACTTTGACAACGAAAGGTTGTACACTTTTCAGAAACGCAGCAGAATAGTTTATGCGATTAATAAACATAATGATATATTAAAACAAACAACAATAGATAACTTTTTGAATATCTAGATGCAGGAATCCCAAAGCCAGTTACTTTTATATTAATATCTGAGAGGATAAAACAATTGGATATAAGGTGAAATTATTTTGTGAATCGATAATAATGGTTATTATTCAGTAGTATAAACATTAGAAGTGTCCATTTGGATTGATTATTATTTTGATCATGAATATACACACTAATTTTAAGGAGAATATTGGACAATACTACTTTGATGCAAACAATGAACTTTCGAAATAAGTTCTGTTCACAAAATGTCTTAATCATCTTACTGATTGTAGATAGATTTCATTCTGTCATAGAAATGAATTGAATAGGAATTACAAACTATTATTTTTGCAACCAATAGTTCACATTTACTCAATTACTCTAGAAAGGAAATTGATGTGTAATTCACTTACCATGTATAGAATCGTGTATTCGGCTTCAAACCATACTTTAATTATAAGAACTAGTGATATACCAGTACGCGGTTATCCTAGACATAGTGTAGATGGAGTGGGTTCGAGTTTGCAGATTATGTCGAATACCTTAATCATTAGGCTTACTACTCCTTAAGCGCGATTCCCCTCATAAAGGTAAGAGATTATCGATAAAATACTTCAATTCAATTCACTTTTAGTATTTTCAATTTTTATTACTTTTTTTGTTTAAAGGTAACACTGCATTACATGATTGTACAGAAAGTGGCAATTTAAAATGTTTACAATTATTGTTAAATCATCGAGCTATTATGCGTAAAGATGAATATGGTCAATTACCAATTATGTCTGGTGCAAATGCAGCTTATAAAAAAGTTAGTTTGTTACTGGTTAAGAAAAGATTTTCAATGAAATATGAATGTTACATTAGATCATATTTGACCAAGATAAAGTGAAATAATATATCACTTTTGAAATTTATTTATTTATTTTAACACATAAACATTGGTACAAGGAGGCACCAGACATATTTGCGCCACACAAATCTCATTCAATATGTGTGAGGGATGTGATACTGCCAGGGTGTCCTGACCGGAGCAGGTGGTTTTCTTAGGGGACCACACCCCCGAGCCTTTGACCTTAAGGTCTGACCCACAAAGCAGTGGAGCATCGTGAGGAGATGCAGTTCCATGGTTGCCGGTGACCAACGATTGGTTCATACGCCATTTGTTCCTTCAGGATACTGCAGTCAATGTATACCATTGGTTTGGAATCCGGTAAAGCGCCGGCCATTCGCTTTTCGTCCTCTCATCTTCGTAAACAACACCCCCGCCACGAGAAGGTAGTGAGTAGGACTTCCCTGGCAGAGGCTGTATACGCGTGGCTATGTGAGAGCATTTGGAGAGGGAGGGCGGGCCCATCCCACTCTCGACCATACCAGGGCACTTTTTTTTGGGGTGGTGGTGGTCAAAGATCAGTATCACAAGTGATATTGTCTATCTATATTGGATATATTTTGTTGTTTGTTTGTTGAGTTTTTATCATTGCTCGTGATTGGCCTTCAGGTATTTGTTATATGATTACGGGGAATGATTCTTAGTATGTTGTCGAATTTCCAGTGTGTATAGTTCGTTATGCAAAGATGTCAGAGGTAATGCGCTTTATTCGTTTTTAGTAGGTTACTTTTTAAGGTTGTCTACATCTGTCTGTGAGTAAAAGATAGTTGGTTTTATGATCTGTAAGCAGCGATTTCGAATGAGTACATCTAGAATATGAAATATTTTGAAGGGGTTTTTAACAGATAGGAAAAGAAGTACTGGCTCTTTCACTATCATTCATCTTACTGATGAATTACTAAACTTTATTGACAATCTCCAAGTTTATGTACCTCCCCGGAACCCTAATTCAATCGACTATAGCACCAATATCACTTTTATTTTATTAATTTGAAATATACTATCGGCAAACACAAGATTACAGTTATGCTACTAATTTTATTGGGACGATATAAAGATGGTAAATCAATCCATTCGAAGAACATAACTTCTGAAATAGTTTGGACAAAAAAATGTGTAGCCATAAATAGAGGGATTATTTCGAATGAGATAATGAGATTAATAGTCCTTAGGTTCTGTAGAATTAAATTTTTACAACTTCATTTCGTGTATCTATTGGATAGAGTTGTATATATGGTAATACTGTTTGATAATCGTGTTAAGTACACACATTATGCGGAACATGTCAGGGTTGAAGTCTCTCTGTTCATTTGAAAACTTCATTTGGGATTTGCAGGCCTTGTTTTTCACAGATAAGTTTCTATTGAGATACCATTGGAAACTTAGGAGAACTCGAAAATTGTTTCGTTATAGTATTGGACTCATTAATATTGAACACAACCCCGCCAGGTATCAAACCTGTAACCTTAAGGTCTTGCGACTAACGTTTAACCATTAAAAACACTTGGTCAGCGTCCAATGGTACAACTTCATCTTCAGTCAATTTCCGATATGGCGCAATAATCATTTAATACCACTGATGAAAACTATTTAAACAGTTGAATTCATGAGTTGATCTAAGCTAGACAACCATTCAAAATCCGGAAGCACTAGATGGCCATTTTATCCCAGAATGGGACTCCTCAGCAGCTGGCATCCATGATCCCTCACATGCTCGAACCCCGAACTTTCGGTCTCGTCAGACAATGAATGAAGGGTTGTGCAAAGTCATGGATCGATTGAAGCTAGGCATTAACACCGTTAGATACCGGCTCATCGGTCTAGAGATTAGGCATTCGTGTGCGAGAACGAAGGTTTCGGGGTCCGAGTTCCATGTGGGGGGTCGTGGATGCGCTCTGCTGAGGAGTTCAATAACAGGACGAAGTGGCTGTTCAGTGCTTCCAGGTTTTCAATGATGGTATAGCTTAGATCGACTCATGAACTCCACTGTTAAATTTACTACAATCTCTACAAATCCCCATACTGATAAAACTATTTCACTTTCGATATTTTTAAACTCTATCAGTTAAGACTTCATAGTTGAACTTTAGGAACATCTTAAAGTAAGCCACTAGGGTGAGCTGACCCTTTTAACTAAGTTGAGTAATATACATAGATTACTTTGGTGGAGTTTTGTTCTCTGAGCTGGATGGTTTGGTCGTGGAGCATTCATCGTTCTTCTGAACGACATCATCAGCACAAACTTCAGATAGAAGTGAAGTGTTTGAATTTCTCCATATGTGTCTCAAAGTTTGTTCTGTGCACCTCGACGTTGATTGGTTCTTATTGACCTTACATTTGTCGTTGTTTACTTCTTTGTTTTGGTTGTGTCTCCCATTGGTTTGATTTTTGTTCCTATATTTGTGCATGATTTTCCTGATTGGTTGGTAAATTGGATTGATTTCAAAATGCTTGTTGATTGCTGATTGATCTGAGTGCCAGGCTTCTAAAAATTCTCTCGTGTTTTTGGAGTTTCCGCTGTCTAAGATTTCCATATTTTTCCAATCGAGTGAGTGTCCGCAGTTATCCACGTGTATTGATATAAGTGAGGAGATATCATGGCGTTTGACTGCTAATTGATGTTCATGTAGGCGATGGTGAAGGGGGCGTCCTCTTTGACTGATGTGGTGTTTTTCGCAGTTGGCACAATTTATTTTGTAGATGATGTTTGATTTGTTTTCCTTTGTTATTTCATCCGTTGGTTTGCATAGGATTGATTGTAGTGATTTTGTAGGTTTGTGTGCCACACCTTATCCCGAAGGTTTTCAGCAATCTCGTTGCGGTTTCTGATATCCCTTGTATGTATGGTAGGGTGATCCTTTTGCTGATTTCTCTGCTTGACTTGGGTTTGGATGCTGAGTGCGGTTGGTATTTTTTGATGAAGTTGATTGGATAGCCGTTCTTTAGAAATACGTCCTTCAGGTATTGCTCTTCATTTTTTCGTGCTGCCAGGGTGCTGCAATGTGTCCTCGCCCTCTTCAACAAAGTGTGTACGCAGTTGATTTTGTGAGCTCTTGGGTTGTTGCTATCGTAGTTGAGAATTTGATCTGTATGGGTCGGTTTCCTATACACTTGAGTTCTCAGTTTTCCTGTTTCGGTTTTAGTGACTAATATATCCAAGAATGATAGTTTGTTGTTTGACTCCTGTTCCATCGTGAACTTGATGTAATCGAAAACGTTGTTGATCAGTTTGTAAGTGTTTTCCAGCTCATTCCTTTTGACGATGACGAAAATGTCGTCTACATAGCGAATCCAAATTTTTGGCTTGATCACTGGTAGTATCGCGGCTTCTAGTCTTTGCATCACTGCCTCTGCGATCAATCCTGATATTGGTGATCGCATTGGTGTCCCTTTCGTTTGTTCGTAGATTTTGTTGTTGAATTGAAAATATGTTTTCAGGCATAAATCTATGAGTTCCAGTAGACTTTGAATTTGAAGCTTCGTGTATTTAGTGAGGTTTGTTTCGTTGTTGAGTAGCAGGGATATAGTTTCTTTTGCTAGTTGTGGTTCAATTGAGGTGAATAGTGATGTTAGGTCGAAGGTTATCATCAGTTCGTCGTTGTTGATTTGGATATCCTTAATTTGGTCCAGGAATTGTGTGGGGGGATTTGATTGAGTGGTTGGCTGAATCTACGAAACGTCTCAGTATTCTTGAAATTTCTTTTGACAAATTGTACGTTGGTGTTCCGGGGAGTGCTACAATTGGACGTAGTGGGATGTTTGGTTTGTGTATTTTGGGTCTGCCGTAAAATCGAGGATTATTGAGCGACAGATTTACATATTTTGTTGTTAACTTTCGTGTTATTCAATACACTGTTATATATCTGTACACTGGAAATAATTTCTTATACTGATTTTTCTTTAAAATTGTTTCATTATATTATGGTTTATTGTTTATATAGATTGATCAGATTTTCATTTACTGGTTTATAAGTTCAAATCTTTCCTTCAATATTATCAGTTCTTACATAATGCTGTGAAGTGTATATGTTTATGCATGATTATAAAGGATAATTAAAACGATTACAAATTTAATTCAAGTTTATACTCGTTGTACAAATAAGAGTAATTAGCTAAGTTTATCAGCTAAGTGAATAACACGTTGATATTTAAAGCGAACAGTATTAGATTAAGATCCTGAAGTGAATAACAACACTGGGATGTGATATATATATATATATATATATATCCAATTAAGGATAAGTTGTAAATAGAGTAAAATATGCTTACATCCTAAATTCCATTACTAACCACCAATTCATCTTATTTATTTACTTGGACATATAAATATTGGTACAAAGGGGTTCTCGAATACATATGAGCACCACACAAGTCACTTGATTTGTGTGGGATGGGATACTTCCCTAGTGCCCAGACCGAAACAGATGGTTTTCTTTAAGGCCTACACCCGGAGCCTTTGACTTAGAGGTCTATTCCACAAAGCAGTGGAGCATCGTAAGGAGATGCAGTCCCATGGTAACCGGTGACCAACAATAGGTTCATAGGCCATTTGTTCCTTCAGGATATTGGAGCCCATATACACCATTGGTTTGTAATCAGGATTTTCCAACTCTCCTAGGTGGATCCTCCACATCCACCAACCCGGTTAAAGCGCCGGATATTCGCTTTTCGTTCTTTCAATTTCGTAAACAACAGTAATGCAGCGAAAAGGCAGTGATTAGGACTTGCTTGGCAGTGTTTGTATAGGCGTAACCATGTGAGAGCATTTCAAGAGAGAGAGAGGTAACTCTCCCCACTTTCGACTGTACTAATTCATCTATTCTATGTAAATGCTAATAATGATTATCAACCTATGTTTGATAAATATATGATGACATAATTTGTAACTTATATAGCTAATTAACAAATCATAATGATACTCATTAAGTATATTTTCTTTCTTTTTGTTGTTGTTGTTGTCGTTGAATTTTCGGTTTCATTTAATCTGTAAACAATGTGAAATTATACAATAAAATATTAAACTCTTACAGATTGTAGATTATTTGGCTACTGTTGAAATTCCTGATTCAACACAAACAATAAGTGTTAGTGAAAAAGCTGCTGCATATGATCTACTTGGTGCTAGTCTATTCGATCGACATTCTTTAATTCAAGACGCTATAGCTGCTTGGTATCATGCGATAAATTTACGCCAAGAGTTGTCTACTTATAATAATAATAATAGTGGTAATAATAAATTTATTCCACATCCAGTACCACAATGCTCTTGTATGAATGAATTAATGTCATGTGTTGAAGGGCAACCAACAATGACAACCACTACCACCAATACTACAACAACTACTACTACTTCAACTACTAATTCATCCAATAATTGTTGGTCATTGATTTCATTAGCTGCACGTGAAGCAATTGGAATGGCTGAAACTAGTCGATTTGATGAACAACATTATTCGTTAACATCTAATTGGCAACGTCATAAAAGATCTACAAGAATTCATGACATTTTATTGAAAAGTTATAATTCCACAAAATTTCATCATCATAATTCAATTCATCAATCAACTATACGACAAAAGTCTACAACGAAATATTCACAAGATTTACATGAATTATTTCAAAGAAAATATAAAAAATTACAAACTGATTTACAAAATGCTTATCAATGTAAATTTGAACATTTAGGTCATTCATTGTATCGTTCGAATTCATTAAAAGATTATACTGTTGATGTACAATCACCACCATTTTGTTCAGTGTTTCTTCAAGGTTCGCATAATTCACGTTTAGGTTTACGTCGTAATGGTTCTAGTGAGTATTTTGATCAGTCTTCTCCTACCAATTCAATATTATCACAAGGTATTTGTAGATCATCACCATCACCAACGAATTCTTTGAATTTTGGAACATCCTCATCCTCCTCTCCACCACCTTTATCAACAACAGGACATCATAGTGGCAGTTGTGCTGGTGGTGTTTTCGTCCAATCTGTTATACCTGTCGATCCTATTCTAGGCTTTGAACCGAAATGTTGTCAAATTGCACGATATCGTCGATGGCTTCTGGAGCCTGTTCATCAAAATTATCAAGTCAGATCGTCGACAACATCTGATCATAATAACACTAGTAACATATTGCATAATAATACAGAGGATTTCACTCCATCCAAAATCATAAATCAATGTCCTCATTGTAAACAAATACTTGTTTCAATGAATAATTTAAGTGAAGAAAGTCTACTTTCAAATCAATCCACCTGTCCCATTTGTAAGACATCACTAGTATTAAATCATTCTTGTAAGTTACATATCATTTGCTTCCTTTTACTATGTTTTTTTTCTCATTTAACTTGTAATCCTACTGCACCAGTGTACAGAGGACTGTGCTTGGTTTTAAACTCAAGTTTAGTGATTCTGCCCGGTTTCTTAAAATGAAGTGGTGAGGAATCTGAATCACTGAACCACCACTTCGTACATTTGCCATCTAATGTGTTATCTTTTGCCTTGAAAAGCATATTAAATGTTAGATGTATATATATATATATATGTGCTAAATTAAGACTTGGTTATTTTTCGACACAATACACTAATCGGTTAATGATATTGTGGAATGATACAATATGATAGAGTATAAACTACTCACGAGACTAGCTTATCAACGCACGCTCCCAAATTGAACTGAACATCTGAATACGAGTTAGCAGCTGCTCAATGGAGTAGACTTTTCACTGTAATAAAAACACGCTTATGCATAAAATTTTAACAGAAAAATATAAACGTAATTAGATGTTACAGATGAGTGTACAATATCCATCATGATAGAACAGTGGGAAGACGGAGTCGAGTTGAAAAAGTATGGTGTATTTACGTTATACGTTCCGAACAATCTGATGACACTTGTCAATCTGTTTATGTCTAAGAAAATGATGATCAATTCAATAAAAGATCGAGTAAACCTAAATGGGTAATTATAAACAAAGACGTGAAGAAAGCTAATATAATATGTGAAGAATGAAAAATTGTCACATTACTTTATCCTGTAAACTGGTTTAAAGATTGTCAGGGCACATTCAAGGTTACAATATGTTGTTTCTGTGTGTATAAAGGGGGGTTTGAATTTTCTAATAACCAAGGCTTCTATAAACTTGAAAATTAGTATACAACGTTGTTTTTTTTTCAAAAAAAAACTATTGATGTCAATTCTATACCCCGTTTTATATCGATGAATGATGCTTTCTACTTTCTACGTTTATCGATGTAAGCACGTGTTCCTATAACCCTTGATTGAATTGTTCGATCATTCCTTCCTATGTATATATGTCTACCCGAATCTATGGAATGTGATGAAAACGTTTGATGAATATCTAGGTCTATAGGGGATAATAAATTTGTTTTTTTCTTTCGATTACAATCAGTTTTGCAGTGTAGAATATTTTCTCAATGGTTGTTCTTGGTCTCTGGTCTCAAAATCATGCTGTTTGATCGATTCTCTTATAAATGTCTGTTTTGGTTGGTCATTCTCGTATTCACTGAACTATGTGGTCTTATCCATTGTGTTAGTCTAGTTCATTTTATATATCGATCTATTTTTTTATAGCAAAGATTAAACTTGTTTCTTAAACATGAAAACAACTAAACAGTGTGGTATTAATAATAATAATAAGTCACACGTTTATAACATGGTAGAAAGTCATACATATCTGGTAATAAACTGCATTATTAAATTAATCTGAAATCCTCCTTATGAGTCCGCAATTATTAATAATTTATACGGAGTGCAAGTTACTGTAAACGTTGTATTTTGACATTGGAGAGAGGTTGAATACCTTAACACTAATGTGATCGATTTTGAATCATTATTATCTGATGTTATTAACCATCATCATCATGATGTCGTAGACTTGGATCTTATCACCTAACGTTTTCATCTATGGATTACACACTTATTTCAAATCTCCAACCTGAAAGCTTCCATATTTAAACACATATCCTTTATAACAATAGACTAATTTATCATTTATGTCTAACTTTCTTCTATTTCTTCTCCTCTTAGTTTCAATCTTAGGGATAACATAGGAATTCAGGGTTAAAATTGACAAAGTATGGTGTAAGAATTGTCATGACTTTTTTAATCGATAAAAATTCATAGCGCTATCAATCAATTTATCATTTTGATTGCATACTTTCTATCTAACCTCATTATTATTCATTTGGTAAATAGTATCATCATTATCTAGTCCATGTTTAATGGACATTACTGAATGTGCTGTTTATTTTTGTATTATGCAACAACTAATTCTTTCTTTCTGTGCTATATCCTTATTATATGCAATCATTCTTTCATTTATTACCACCTCTGAATTAACTACTTTTATGAATCCGGTGTCCATCTTGTTGTGTTAATGAGGTATGGCAACTTGGACCGATGCATATATATGTGCCTGGTCCTACGTTGTAACTAACTGACTGACTGACTATGATATTTGTAGCATTTATCTTGTATTGTATTAGTATAACATGAGTGTTTAGTTTAGCTATTCTTGTAAGTAGTAAAGTTTCTGGTTTGCTTGATCCCCAATATAATACCCCGGATATCGTAGAAAGTGAAGAGAGTTCAATCTCTCCTTTTTAAAATACTCTCATATGATTAAGTGTATATAGTCTACTGTTAGAGAAGTTCTACTCATTACCTTTTCGTGGTAGTAATTGTTGTCTTATACAACATAAGTTTATATCTCATAAAACGATGAATAATACATGAAAACCAACATAATTGATAAACAAATTGCATCACATGAATTACATAATAATTTAATCAAATAATATTTTTCATATTTTATAAGATTTAGTTGCCAAATTAACCTACCTAACTACTTACCTACTTACCTACTTACCTACCTACCTACCTACCTACCCACATACATACATACATACGTACTTACGTATACACACGTACGTACATATGCTATTTCATCATTCTTGATATCATAGTCATTGTTTTGCTTCTCTCGTTTTTATATTTTAGTGAATTCTTCAAATGAAAATCAAACAGTCCATTCAACAAATCAGTATTCTAAAGTATCTTATCCTTACGAATCAAATAATAATGATGATAATAATCATAATTATTATAATAATGTAAGTGTTATTAGTTGTGTTCAATAAATATATTCAATAATAATATCAGTTAAATGATGGTTTAATGATTTAAATAATAATTAACTGATATTTATTCAGGTTACAAGTTCGAGTCCCACTCTAATTACTTCAATTTTGAAACAGTTCGATAACAACAGCATACCTGTTTGATGCATACATATATTCTGTTACTGTTAGATATCAAAAGAGTATCTAACATATAAACAAAAGTAACATGATGATAAGAAATTAAACAACAAGAAGGAAGTACAATAAAATAATAATAAATAAATGAGATTAGTGTATAATCGACGGAGGAGATACAATTCAATCATGATTTCAACCGGTATATCATAATGGGTTGATAGTCGTCGATCATAACTTGAAAGTATAAAAATATAGTATTTATAAGTTTGTACTTTGTTGCTGAATTATACAGTCACTTAACTTTTGTGCATTGAATGGCTACCAACTTTTTTGCACACCCTATCTAAGTGAGTTCCATATTGGATACTATTTGCTGCTATTTAGACTAGTTAAATGTTGAAAGATCATTAGTTCATTTGGAATAGGGTCGTGAAATGTAGAATAGGTGGGTTAGGGTAGCATTTTTTATTTTACACCTCAAACTGTTGGACCTAAAAATGAACATTTTTATTGAAGATAATCCAGATAAACCTAGTTGGTTACTATTATCTAAGCTACTGGAATACTGTAAACGGGTAGAATATACTACTGACGGTCAATCAGCAACCGTCTCTATCCTTTAGGTTTGACTGTTGAACTTCGACTCAAACGTATTTCATAAAACCTTACGGATTATCAGGGCAAAAAGGAAGATTATATTTCTGTATTGGCTATTAACTAACTGGAAAGTGACAACCGCCTTTTTTTTTTAACTTATTCACCGTGTTTTTATTCGATTATCTTTTAACAGAATGAAAACAATCTTAAATATGTTTGTCCAGTATGTCATTTTGCTACTGAAAATCATCCGTTAATTCGTCGATTAAAACAATGTGGTGAAGATGCTTTTGGACATGTTTGTGAATTTCAAACACGTGAAGATCTAGCCAGTTTAATGTCAAATACACATGTTCTACGCTTACAATCATTGCTTATACGCTTACGTATATTAGGTCCAGATCATCCAGATACCATTTATTTTATCCGGTAATTAAAGTGTTTTATTTTACATAAATTTGTTGTTTTTATCGTATACATTAGTGCCGGAGAGTTGGTGAGAATCAAGGGGCTGGTGTTTTGTCTTAGTTTTTTCGAGATTCTCTAATTGATAAGTGTGAAACATGATCTTTGGAAGTAGAGGATATTTGTTAGTCACTAGTATTCCACCATCTTTGAAGCATTGTTCGTTAACTTTGGGACCGCAGTGTAAAGAATGCCTGGGTTAGGAATGGCTCTCTAGGTAGAGATGGTAAGTTGATTGATGAGATAGTAATTCTTCACTAAATGAAGTGGTTTGGACATGTGATCTGTATACTCCGCCACCACCCACTTCTATGTGTTGTCTGGTATGGGAGTAGTCTGGAAGAAGGCTAGGGGCGACCAAGCCAAAACATGGCAGCCCCCTACGAAGTCATTGACAACTGGACTGAGCCATGTTAATAGGTGTAGACTACCGGGGCTAGGGTCCTCGTGATTATCGAACCAGTAAGACTGATATTTTGGCTGAATACCAATTAGTTTGAACCACTAATCAACCATGTCAATGGGCCGGACTTTCAAATCCTTTACCATCCCTTGCCATTGAATCTCATATCTAATTACTACATTGTAAAGAAAGCATAAATAAATGTTGTTATTTTTAATGGAACAGTGTTTTTTTTCGTGATTCGTTTATATTTTAATACATTATAGTAAGTTATAGGGTACTGTGAAGATAAAGTTTCACATCAACAACTGTCATTATTTATTTATTTGAACACCAAATACATATTCACCACATATCAACAACCGTTATTCATCAAGTCAGGAGACATGAAAGTTCTGAATTGTGGATGAGGATTGTTGTGGGGTTTCATAATAAGTCGAAACATCTATCCAGTATTTCTAGCATTCCATAGTTGTCAAAATAAATTAAGTCGTCGATTAGACATTACAAACAATAAGTAGTTTTCTTAAAGATTATTTCACATTTCTACACGCGCCTACAACTGAATAGAAACAAACATGTCTACCATAATAATAATTTGCACCACGACTCATCTGACATGACCAAGATACTGGAGCACGCCGCGAGGGGTGTTATTTACGAAATTGAGATGACGAAAAACGAATGTCCGGTGATTTAACAGGTTTGGTGGATATAGAGGATCCACCTAAGTGAGTTGGAAAACCCTGATTCCAAACCATTGGTGTACATAGGCTCCAGGATCTTTAGGGAACGAATGATATATGAACCAATCGTTGGTTACCGGCTACCATGGGACTGGATCTCCAAATATTGCTCCAGTGCCTTGTGGATTAGACCTTTAGGTCAACGTCTCCGGATGTGGCGCCCTAAGAAAACCACCTGCTTTGATTTGGGCACCCGGTCAGAATTCCAGCCCTCACACAAATCGAATGATTTATGTGGTACATGTCTATTTGGTGCCTCCTTGTACCAATGTTTATGCGTGTAAATAAATAAATAAATAGTGATACTGTTCGTTTTCTTAACCATTATTCTCCCGTATTTTTCCCTTTTTTCTTTTATAGTTATCGTGGAGCAATTTATGCAGATGCAGATAATTTTCATCAATGTTTAAGTTTATGGCGTTATGCATTAGAATTACAACGTACATTTGTCGAACCATTATGTCATGTATCACAAGCTGCATTTGTTAGTTTTGCTGAATTATTTCATTTTGTATTAACAAATAATTGTATTGGTTTACCAGCAAAAGATTTAGATCCAACATTAATTGTAGATTGTTTAGAATTAGCTGTTGATAATATTGAACGGTAAGTAACTTTTAATGATTATTATCCATTTTTCTATATAATCTCTTTGCTTACTTACGCCTGTTACTCCTCGTGAAGGAGCATAGGCCGCTCACCAGCATTCTCTATCCAACCCTGTCCTGGGCAATCCTTTCTAGCTCCTTCCAGTTGTTATTCATCCTTTTCATATCTGCTTCTATTTCCCGACGTAATGTGTTATTTGGCCTTCCTCTTTTCCGCTTCCCTTCACGATTCCAAGTTAGGGCTTGTCTCGTGATGCAGCTTGATGATTTGCGTAATGTATCTCCTATCCATTTCCATCGTCTTTTCCTAATTTTGTCTTCAGCTGTAAGCTGGTTTGTTCTCTCCCAGTGAAGGCTGTTGCTGATGGTATCCGGCCAATGGATGTTGAGTATCGTGCGTAGACAACTATTTATAAATACTTGTTCATGTTTGATGATGGTTGTAGTAGTTCTACTTTCAGCTCCGTACAATAGAACTGCCTTGACGTTCGTATTTAACATTGTGACTTTGATATTGGTTGAAAGTTGTTTTGAGTTCCATATGTTCTTCAATTGTAGGAATGCGGCCCTTGCTTTGCTAACCTCTTATTAATTGAATTATGATATATATTGGGTGATATTGTGATTGTAGTGCAAAATACTCCTAGGCACTTGGAATATATAACGATAGTATTCTCTTCTGGAGAGATTAATACTTATGTTCTTGTGAGCATCAAAATATAACTATCTTATTTTAGTCCTAAGTTAAAGAGTTAAATAATAAAAGCTGATTCGATAATATTTCCTGTAGCTATAAAGTGTAATTCTAATAGTCATAGTTTAGAGTTTAGATGTTAACGTTAATTGTTAAGATGGTCTATCTCTGGCGTTTTTTTTAATGATTGTGATGACTTTCTGGTTAAGAAACTGTCTGAGTTGTTTACAAAGAATTGGCGATTGGAGAGTGTTCCAACATCATGAAATGATTCTATGGCTGTTCTTATCTATAAAAAGGGTTCACGTCGTTTCTGTAACAATTATCGGGAGATATGTCTACTTCCGATTGAGTCTAAACTATTGGTTCCCGTCATGCTTCTTAGCTTGTTCAAAACCCGAGAAAGATTGACTCGCCTGGAGCAGGCTGGTTCGCTATTGTGTGTTCGAGCATAGCGACAATGATTCAATTAGTGTCGCTTTGTTACCACAGAGGGGATAGACAAAGTGGAAAAAACATACTTATCATCAGCTATAAGTTTCTGTTTGTATTTTGCAGTATTCACTATGTTGTGTTTTCTAAAAGCATCTCAGCAAATAATACGAATCTTATACATTATTGATTAGCTAAATGGGACATTTATAAAAACCCTTATATTCATGGTATTGTTTGCCATAAATTTCTTCTTGAAAGATAACCAGTCAATTCTTCCTTTTATCGTGAGAGATAAGAAGGTTTTCAAGCACTTGAACAATCATATGTAATGACACTGGCCACTAATGAATTATGATTATTCAACAGGGTTCGTTTGCGAGTTTCTTACTAGCAATCTTATGAGCACTCAAGAGCACCAGTCTCCCTAATCACTAAACCTGTCTTCTTGAGATTTATTTTTGTCTTCTAAATATAGATAGACTATATAGGTGGAAAGCGGCGGCACTAGCACGGTTCGAAAACGATAAATAACAGCAATGATTGGAATGGTTTTGAAGAATTTGATTTCCTGCATGTTTTAAACAATAAAAACTAATGAAACAAATATGTGTGTATATATACATATTACCGTAACTGAGGTTTGGGGCGTAGTCAAAATAGGAGATAATGCTGTATTTGAAGAGATTACGAGTTCACCTAACCGGAGAACGGAACGATAACTTTGGGACACAATGACAGCTAAGCTAACTATTCCGACACGTCCCAGTCCCGCTAACTAGAAAGAGAATTCCGAGTTCAGAAGAGGGAAATATATTCCACAAGCAGCCAGAAGCATGAGCAATAACAACAAAGCACAAGTCAAGCCTATATATACAGTATAAAAATGTCATTGAGAAGCGTTACAAAATAGCATATTAAAAGTGACAACGAACCAATAACAATTAAGACCCTCCCAAATGGGAAACAAAGGTGAGAATGGAAGATTTTGGCGCGAACACAAGAAATTCAAATTTTTAAAATAGAATTACAAAAATAAAGTATTTGTCAAATGAGCTCTGAGGATCTAACATCCCCAACAGATAACATATTGATAACTCTGAAAATTTTGTAGTTTTCACGATCTTGATCTGTATATTTATTGAACAGAGTAGTATGTGTACTGATATATGCATTTCCTCTTTTTTTCTTTCTTCCTAATGATTAACAATAGTGGAATGGATTATTCATTTTATCATTGGCATCATCGACATCCATGGTCATATACAGCAGCGGATAAAGAAGCGATTAATTTAATGCGTCATGTATCATTATGTTTACATTTTATAGCAATGATTCTAATTCATTATATGCCAAATTGTAAAGCTTTACCAACCATACGTTCTATTCGACGTCAATTATCTAATTTAACACAAGTAGTTGAAGAAAATTTTAATGAATTATTACAAAATTCTACATTGAATTTATCAAATATTATGCTTAATCAACAAGAGCTAATTAGTAATAATAATAATAATAGTAGTAGTACTGAAAATGAATCACAAATAGATAGTTTATCTAATGATATGAAAAAACGTATGCCAATTGAATTGAAACAACGATTTTTCCGTCAAGTAAGTGAATTACTTCTCTATATGATGAAAATTACTTCATTATCTTTAAAAGATGATAAATTAGTTGATGGTACTATGAATGTGGTGATAGGACTTGTCATGTAACGTTAGATGGTGTAGAAATCAAGTGTGAAGAAATTTGGAAGGTGTTCAAACTAAGATGGAGCATCAATCGATGCTTATGAATACAGTGGTCTTGAGTGCTGTTAAAGGTATAAGGGCGGTTATCACTCATCGGTTGCCCACGCCTTAGAAGGGTTCTTGTGCAAGTACCTGAAAAGGAAATCGGATTAGAGGTGGCCTTAATGACCTGAGAGCGTGACCGCAGTGCTCAAGAGACAACTGCTTAAGGTCGGTCAATCACGACCTTTTTATGAATGATTTTTGTGTTAGCTTCGTACTTGTTGAGACCTTACCACCGGAGACGGATATTTGTGAGATAAGGCGAGGTGTGCATTTTTAGGGTCGACCTTTTCTAACCCAACCTCTCCTTATGGGGAAGCAGCATCGCTGTCATGCTGGTTGTCTGAAGGAAACACCTTACTGCTGCCACACCTCTGTACAGTCAGCAGTACGACTTCGCCTTCGGACCTTGGGTTTGTTGCTTTTAGTGTTACCACTCTTCAACCGACCTTTCTGACATGGTAGGACCTTGAGGAACGGTTGTTCCAGCCAGTATAGCTTGGTTGTTTCATCAAGATAGGCGAGCCCGACCACCACGTCAAGGTAGCAACAACGGTCTTCCATTAAGCTAAGAGAATAAAATCGGTTCGTATCTTTCTTTCTACAAAAGAATTATTTCTTCCTGTACTATATCCTTATATGCAATCTTTCTTTTATATATTACCACCGTTGAATTAACTACTTTTATGAATCTGGTGTTCATCTTGTTGTGTTAATGGGGAATGGCAACTTGGACCGATGCATATATGTGCCTGGTCCTACGTTGTAGCTGACTGATTGACTGATCAATCGATGAGTTGATTAATTATTGGTCTTATTCATGATGGTATTTGTACATTATCTGTTTGCAATCTACCGTGACAATCATGATCAATGATTGATTGATATGGCTCGAAGTTGGTCACTGTGATCTAAATATATTCAGCATATATCTTTCATTAGATTCGGAATACTGATATCATTTTATATTTCTTATTTCCTTTTTGAGCACAGTTGAATTGTAGTGGTTAACAGTTTCGGTGTTTAGAGCGAAAGAAACAGGGTTCGAGTCTCGATGTGAACATCAATACTGGGATGTGGTAAATACATCCATCTGACGAGTCTCGAACTAAAAAAAACTCACGTTTCTTAGATTCCACTGTTAACCACTCTATAAAATTTACTTACAAACACTTATGACTAATATCGAAATCGAGACTGATCAATTATAGTCCTTAACACAAACAACGGAGAGGTTCGTAAACTTACATTTGAAATATTTATTATCACCTTATCTCGTCTGTTCTTTTCTAACTTTTAACCTTAATGCTTAATTTAATTATCAGTCTCAATGACACAGATGCAATCGCTCTTCTTTCACTTCGTGCATTCTTTGGTTACGATGATCACGTGGACTGTAACCAGGTAGTCTTCACTTGCTTACATGACTTAGCATTCAGTGTCTTCATGTCTTTGTTTGTCCACGTATAGCTTTCTTCCAACCTACATTTACACCAGTCATCATCAGGCTTGTAGGTAGATGGTGAGTGGGCATACGTCATATTTATCCCAACTATCTCGGTCAATAAAGACCTGCCTCCTCGTCATGTAGTTTGCCACCCTTAGTACTCTACGTCTAACCTCAGATTCTCTAACTCAGTGGTACTAACATGTACTAGCACTTCTTGAAAGATTGATATTATAGAATACTAGTAACCTACGAATATCCTCATACCCATAGAATAGAATGGAGCTCACTACTGTACAGGACACTCGTCTTTTGGTTGGGAAACAGGTATCTTGCCTACTCAACAAATAATGTAAGTTGGCAAATGCTAACCGGACTTTTGATTATAGTGGAATATAAGTTTTTACAATCTATCGATAGATAGAAGACCTCAACTGACGTAGTTCAAAATCGGTTACATATGTATGGTCTTCTAAACTCTAGGTTATTCAAATCATAATATATTAAATATGAGGTATCGGACTATTAGACCTGATGATGTAAAGTGCAGATAATATTATGCAAAATTTATTTTTCTGATTATTTTGTTGACTTTCGATATATAATACGAAACTACAATAAATAATCGACTGGGTACATTAAGTAATACCTCTTGGTAATTAGATCACTAGATATTAGTTCACCTGATAGACAGACAAAATTTCGACTAATTATTAAGAACTAGATAATATGAATAGACATTGACGTTTATGAGCCTGAATGCAAAGTATAGTATAATGAAATCAGTAGTTGAAAGGAATTTACAATACTATGTAATTTATTTATTTGAACACATAAATATTGGTATAAGAGGGCACCAAATATATATGCGCCACACAAAACAATGAGAATTTAAAGAGAAAAAAAACACAATAACGAACAGATTAGTGTAAGGTAGTGTAATAATTAATAATAGTAGTAATAGTAATAATGGGGGAAACGAGAAGGTACAACCAGAAGAAATCTTTCAGTTAAGGAAGATACAACCACTTTTTATGAGGAAAGTAAAAGAAGGTTACAGCAGGATCGCCACTGGCTTCTGTTCTGAGCCATATCTGATAACGTCTCTAGCCACTGTGTAGCACCATCTCTCAGACCCCAACCAGGAAGTCGTGAAGAACCAACACACGCCAGTCCTTTGCAGCTTTCTTTCATGCCACGACACCATGTCATGCACTGACCACCCCCGCTTTTTCCAACTAGTCCCAGAGTCGGCAAATAATGCACGACGTGGAATACTCTGGGACGAAAGTCGTAGAACATGTCCAAGCCACCGAGGTCAATATTTCAAGATGGTGACACCAATTGAGTTATCATCTCTGTGCCCGAACACACGATGCCGAACCTCTGCATTACTGACATGGTGTTGCCACTGAATGTCAGCAATCCTTCGGAGACAGGGATGATCGAACACAGAGAGTCGTCTAACGTCCTCAACTCGGAGAGGCCAGGTTTCACAAGCATAGAGCAATACTGCTCTCACCGACGCGTTGTAGATCCGACTTTTTACAACCAGACTAACATCACGAAGGCGCCAAAGATGGCCCAGATTGGCATAAGCCGCTCTGACTTTCACTATACGTGCATTGATCTCATCACTCAACCCCGCACCAGCACTTATGCAGCTATCCAGATACACGAACTTCTCGACTACGTCTATCTGCTCACCATCCAGGGTGAGTACAGGATTAGAATCCTGCTAGTCTTGTAGAAGTACTTTGCACTTCGAAGGTGCAAAACACTTACCATACTTACGAACACTAATTAAGTGCGGATTGCGTGGCTTGGGCATTATCGAACAGTAAAACAATATCATCCGCATACTCAAGATGGAGAAGTCTTTCTCCAGACAACAGATCCACACCGCCATTAATTACATCCATCAGAGCTGTTTATAGAATGTCATCGATGGCAAAGTTGGAGAGGAATGGTGTGATTGGGCAACCCCAGCAAGACCAGACGGAAGATGACACAGGGTCGTCGGATAAACGCACGTAAAACAAGCTTTTTGAAGCGACACTTGGACAGCGAATTTGTAGTACTTCACTAGAGTATTGAATACGGGTCTCGGATAGACATTGCAAAGACATAGCCAGTCCTATCTGTTGTCCGACCTGAATAAGTGTGCGAACGTTGAAGGCAGTCAGTTTGAATAGTGCACGTGGTTCCAGAAAAACTGCTTCAGTATTCGTATTTGGTGGTAGCATACAATTTTCAACCAGTCTGTGACTCGAGGACGTTTAGATAGAACCGAGTTTTCACTATAGGCGAGCTGCTGTATAAGTCGAAAAGTAAGGATAGACAGAGTGGGAATAAAAGAGAGTGAATATCTGACGTAAAAAAATAATAGTAACAATAATAGTAATAATAATAATAATGTGAATCGTTTGATTGTTAATCGAAGTAAGAAAAGTATTTTCCATAAATATCGACATTTCATCATATTTGTATGTGGGCTGTTTTACTGCCCGGGTGCCCAGACCGAAGCAGGTGGTTTTCCTAGGGGGCCACACCCCGTGCCTTTGACCTAGAGGTCTGATCCACAAGGCAGTTGAGCATCGTGAAGAGATGCGGTCTCATTGTAGCCGGTGAACGACGATTGGTTCATACACAATTCGTTCCCGCAGGATACTGGAGCCCATGTCCACCATTGGTTTGGGATCCGGCTAAAGTGCCGGACATTCTCTTTTCGTCCTCTCAATTTCGTAAACAACACCCTCGCCACGAGAAGGCAGTGAGTAGGACTTCCCTGGCATAGGCTGTATACGCGTGTCCATGTGAGAGCATTTGGAGAGGGAGGGCGGGCCCACCCCACTCTTGGCATACCAGGGCATTTGGGGGCTGTCTATTGTTGTTCATTAATCGATCATAGATCACCGTTTTGAATAATTTTCATTAGTTTAATGTAACTCGTTTGCAAGGAGTTATTGATTACTAATTAGATGCCAAGATGAAGCTGATCTCGAACCTGGGACTTAACGATTGATGACTGAATTCTTTAATGTCTAATCCACTAATTAATTGTTTTTATAAATAATGTGTAAGCGATAGGTTTGTATTGTTTCATTTCGAATAGATTCAATCTTCATTATATAGTTACAATAAATAAATAATTATAACCAATGAAGGTTATTTTGTGTGGATATTATAGTAATTTAATGGTTGTTTTCATGAGTTAATTGAAGCTAGAGCCCTATGGAAAACCTGGTCTAGTGGTTAAGCGCTCGTGTGCGAGACTGATAAGTCCTGGATTCCCATCTCGCGAGTTGGGGTCGTGGATGCGCACTGCTGAGGAGCCCCATACTAAGGCGAAACGGCCGTCCAGTGCTTCCAGGTTTTCCATGGTGGTCTATCTTCAATTGATTCATGATCCCAATTATTAAGTAAATAATTATTTCACCTTGAACAAGGTAAGGTATGTGCAGTTAATCGATTTTGTTCGTCAAATAAAGAATTATTCATACAATTTCTTGACTAACATTTTCTTTATTATATTTTATCTAGGTTTATAGATTAGTCAAGTTAGATCCTAGAGTACATCGTGGTCAAAGTTTAATACATTTAGCTTGTTCACCAGAAACTTCAACTGTTGGTCGTTTTGTAATTTGTACTTTTCCAAATGTCAATGTTTTATCTTTGCTATTTGAATTAGGCGCTGATGCTAATTGTGCTGATGTTGATGGACAACGTCCGATTGGTCATGTTTTAGCACAACGTCGATTAAAAAGTTCTGAACATGTATGTATATGAATATATATACTTATATATGTGTGTGTGTTTGTGAGCATTTTATTCCACATTGAATTATATGTAATTTTTCTGCTTTGTTTTCTACTTTTCAGGTAGGTAGTCGAATCCAGGAAGTGTATTTTCATCCATATTTTGTAAATATGCTATTTCAATATTCCATCGAATTACCTGTGCACATAATAGCCCATATAATACGGATTCATTTCATTAAATGAAAAGGAATCTTTGAGTCCTTGTTCAATCATGATTCAAAAACATTTAATTACAGAAGTCTAGCTTTTTTTCCTTTGATAAATTTAGCTAGAGTAAAACTTTTAACAGCTGAATTTATGAGTCGACCTAGGCTAGACGACGAGTGAAAACTCGGAAGCACTGGAAAGCCATTTCGTCCTAGTCTGGGACTCTGCAGTGGTGTACACTCACGATCTCTTACGTGGGACTCAAACCCAGGGCCTTTGGTCTAGCACACGAACGTTTAACCTCTAGACCACCGAGTTGGCATCCAGCGCTGTTAATATCTAATTTCAATTGATTTATGTTCTTGCGCAACCTTTCATCCATTGTCTAAAGTGAATAACTGTCTCCATTAGTCACGACTTCTCACTAGAACTCCAGGAGTTCCATCTTGAAGCTAGTCAATAATCAGCACATGATTATTATCAGAATAAGGATTTGTGGAGATTGTAGAAATTTTAACAAGTGAATTCATGAGCCGATCTACAGCCTTCACAAATCTCCATTCTGATAAAGCGAAAATAACAAATGTAGCAGAATAAGAAGAATTCATTTCAATGTCATGGATTCGCATCATCTGTTACTTATAACCTAGAGACAATAACCTGCTTCGGTCTGGGCACCCGGGCAGTAACACAGTCCATACACAAATCAAGTGATTTGTGTGGCATCCGTGTTGTGATATCTGTATCTGCCGCAGATCGTAATCCACACACAAAAGTAAAACATCATAACTGGTCTGGCGATATTTCCTGTATTCGGTTTGCGATGTTGACATGCGTCACTTAGTCATCCTGTGGTCTTTTCACAAACTGAAGACACTAGTATCTAAAGTGAACATTGATGATCGTTCCATCAAATATATGTGTCAGGCACTCAACTGTTCCCAAGAAGGTTAGGTCGGCTGGATTCTTTGGGAGAATAAAACTCCGAGTTTTCATAATAATAATCTCAGTATTCGAAGTCATAGTAGAATTAGATACCTGCGTTTTCCAAGATATCGACATATTCTTGACCAACAATTCGATAAGAGCATTTTGCTGTTTCAATAATGATTTCAGAGTATTCATTTTATTGATATAAAATCCACTTTGACTGAGTATATGGGTGTAGGTCCGTTTCAACTACCGTCGCCACTGAAATGACTCTAAATTTTCTCCTTTACACCAATGGGACAATGAGTTGCCTTAGACGAATATCTACACTAGATGATACCCTGCAAGTGTCTATTATAGTAGACATCAGCACAACTAAGTTCAAGAACACGTGACTGGTCTGACTAGAACGTGAATGTATTTCAATGTCAACAACCGACAAGAATAATGATAAAAAGGGGTCGGAAATTAAATAACACACCTAATACCTATCAGATTATTTAGTAGTCTGACTACGTAAGCAACCAGTCGTTATTTTGTTCACCTACATATCATCTTGTTAACTTATTTCCTTAGAGACATCTTATTAACTAATGTTTCTCGTGAGTGGACTATGTGACATATGGACGATTTTTAGAGGGTTGTTGTTTCGCATGAGATTGAATTCTGTGTCATAGTCAATTGTCTCTAGATTGTGGATATACTCAGCTAATGAGTCCCAACGACTAACATGAAAAAGGTCTCAGATCTTCTTTGGATCAATTAACTTATTGATCACTTGATCGACTGAATCCTTTCAATCCCTGTAAATCTAATAACAATCAACATTGAAGTACTATTCAATAATTGAATCTCGCTTTAAATATATATGTTTTCTTTTTCATTCATATGTTATCCATTTTTTTGATAGGCCTCTCTTGTTCATACTCTGGTTAAATGTGGTGCTCATTTAGATGCAACCAATCGGAATTCTTTAACTATCCTCTATAAACGTTTTCATCATGTACTCCTAGAATCTCGTGTACAAATCTTAGATCATGTGACTTTAGCTTGTCATGCTGCTCGTGTAGCAAATCATTATGGATTGACTGCATCGAATCCATCAGTTCAAGCTTATTTACCGAATAATTTATTATTTTTCTTACAAATGCATCAGTAAACAACTAAATAATAACAGGGGTTAAACGGCTTGATGTATTTTTTTTCCTACTTTAACTTAAAATCAAAAACTTTGTTTACTCTAATTGTTTGGTTGTTTCCCACCCCTCCCAGTTTTTTTTTTCAAAGTTTGGTTCAATCATTAATAATATTAAACGGAAGAGAGAAAAAAACAATACAAAACAGCACAATATCCCTGTACACAACTATTTTTTCTTCTTTAAATTCTTATAGTTTTAATCTCTTTATATGAGTTGTTTCTTCCGCCCACCCCCACCCCCATCTCTCTCCGTCACCCAACCACCCACCCACCCACCCAGAAACACATATACCCACTGCGCCAACATATTACTATCATATATGAATGTATTTTGTTTAAAAAAAAAAGAACAAATTGTATAATCACTTATTTTAAGTGTTTAATTTGATCAGAAAGATGTTCCATTGATTAACTTAAATAAAATACTTTACTCTTTTCTATTTTCATTGTGTGATATTTATTGTTGAAGTCTATTCGTGTTTACTAATGACTCGTCTTATTATTATTATGATGATGATGATTAGAATTCCTTTCGATTGAGTTTTCCCCATCGTTATACATACACATTTGTTTCTGTACAGAACTTTTTTTTTACATAGATGAATGAATGAATCAAATGCCTTTGATACTGATAACAATAAGGCAGTGAGTGAGTAAAAGTTTGTTCTTGTTTTGTTTTATTAGTTAATGATTTGTAAACATAAAATAAATTAGATTATCTACTTTATTATTATTGTTGTGTGTTTTTTTTAAAAAGTATTTTCAGTAATGATTGAAATGCCTCTAAATGATCTGGTACGACTGAGAGTATGAAGAGTCCGATCTCTTTCTCGAAATGCTCTCATACATGGTCACGTGAATACAATCATTGTTAGGAAAGTTTTACTCACAGCCTTTTCTCGCACTACGGATGTTATTTACGAAATTGAGAGGACGAAAAACGAATGTTCAGTGATTTAACAGGTTTGGTGGATATAGGAAGATCCACCTAAGGGAGTTGGAAAACCTTGATTCCAAACCATTGGTGTACATAGGCTCCAGAATCCTTAGGAAACGAATGATATATGAACCAATCGTTGGTTACCGGCTACCATACGACTGGATCTCCAAATGTTGCTCCAGTGCCTTGTGGATTAGACCTTTAGGTCGAAGGCTCTGGGTGTGCCGTCCTAAGAAAACCACCTGCTTCGATTTGGGCACCCGTGCAGTATCATATCCGACACACAAATCGAGTGACTTGTGTGACGCATGTGTATTCGGTGCCCCTAATATTTATGTGCTCAAATAAAATAAAATAAATGATTAAGATGGTAAGTAATATATACTCCTCAGCAGTGCATATTCATCATTATTAACCCATCGGAATAGAACTTTGGTAGAGTTGTGGATATACCCTGTTGAGGAGTTTCATGCTTGAATGAAACAACTTTCCAGTTCATTCTGATATTTAATAATTGTCTATTTTAAGCTGGTTCGTAATTTCATTAACATTCAGCAACTTCTACAAACCCCCATACTCAAAGTAATAAATGGTTGTATAAATATAACAGTACTCGTTGTTAGGTGAATAATTTGTAAAAGGTGGAACCTTGAGAAATATTCTGCCCTGTTTGTAAGACTTCCCTCAAATCATTGCCTCTTGAGTGGGACTGTAGTATACACATGAACTTTAATTAATTTTTTTTAATGATCACACTATTTCGACTCTTATTTGCCGGTAATTCGTCAGAGACTTCATATTTATGGAGCTTATTGATTATTCGAGTCTTATTAGAACCTTTTCGACTTTAATTGCATGATTATATAGTCACATATCACCATGGATCTGAATGTAAATTAATTCAAGCTACAAATTTCTTTCTGAATCTTTCTGATCATTCGATTTATGTGAGGGCTGTGATCGAAGCAGGCGGTTTTCTTAGGAGGGCACACCCAGAGCCTTCGACCTAAAGGTCCGATCCACAAGGCACTGGAGCAACGTAAGGAGTTGCAGTCCCATTGTAGTCCGTGACCGATGATTGATTCATATGCCATTTGTTTCCTTAGGATCCCGGATCCCATGTACACCATTGGTTTGGAATCAGGGTTTTCCAACTCCCCTAGGTGGATCCTCCATAACTACCAACCTTGTTAAAGCGCCGGATATTCGTTTTTCATCCTCCCATCTTTGTAAATAACACCCGCGGTGCGAGAATGCAGTGAGCAGGACTTCCCTGGCAGTGGTTGTTTTCAAGTGGCCATGGGAGAGCTGACTCACCCCACTCGGCCGTAAATGATCATTTGGGGGCAAACCGAACTATAAATAAAATGACTTCTAAATTCAATATAAACATGTTCAAATAAAATGAAAACTGATTAATTCATGTGTTATGTAAAATCTTTATGTAAAATGTGAGTACTCGATAGGTGTAATATCATTTTTACTCTAAGATTACAAAAGTAATTTTCCTGAACATTCTTGGTTTGTATTACTAATTAGGTGAACGTCATAAAATGCATTTACTGTTACGTGTTTGTTACTTCAGATTGACAGCTCTGTTGTTTATTAACTAATATATGACATTGGATTCAAAGAAATCTTATCTTATTTTGCAGAAGTTTGTGATTCACTAGTCTTAGCTCGTTCAGAACATTCTACATTCATAGTCATGGACTCCGTTACAGAAGCTCAACACTTCCCCAGGATATCTTTGATTCAGGCTTCTTAGCAATCTTGTTGTTCTGTATTTTGCTAGAAATGTTTGTTCAGAAAAAGTCATCCAGACGGTGAGTCGGGGAGAGGAAATGCTATGTTTGAAGCGATTATGAGTTCACCTAGTCTGCGAACGGAATAAAGACTCTGTGACAAAAGACAAATAAGCTAGCTATTCTGATGCGTCCCAGCCCCGTTAACTAGACAGAAAAGTCGAAGTTCGAACGGGGAAATATATTACACAAGCAACCGGAAGCGCGAGCGATCCCGACCCGTCTAGTCGGAAATACACTCATTTATATATTGATTTGTACACCCATTTTTGATTAATAATCTGAATAAATCACATATATGAAAAATGTTTCATACAACAATATCGTATGTTATGCAGAATAAAATGTCATAGGTGAAAACGAAACCGAATACTATACAGAATGATCATCAAATTGAATTAAATGGAATTAATGTTGAATAAATCAATCACATTTTGACCTTTCATCCCGTCATAACAGGAAAACACAAGAGATTGTATACATTGAATGTTTTGACCAACACAGAACGTCGACTAATGTCCTGTAATCCAATTATTCTTTGAATCTTCACATACACGTTTTTTTAAATTTAGCCATATGAACGTCCCTCAAGAATTCCTAAGTTTCTAAAGTATTTTTTTCTCAAGTTTCAAAGATTTTAGTCTGTGTATTCGTTAAGCGGGTCATTTTCTCGATTGTAGTCCAAGATGTCTTAGGTCCCAACTAGGCTTTGCTTGCTTGAGTTTGGTCACTTATATGGTATAACTATCTGTAGAGAGTATGGTTAAAGATATATGGTCAGTTATTGAGTTGGGTTAGAGAAGGTGATATCAAAGTTTAAACGTAATTTCGGAATAATGTGGAGTTTTAACTCGGTGGTTTGAACATTCAATTGTCAATCATTATTATTTCAGACGAAGTGCATATTATTATGGCTAGAAGGTATTTGTCAGGAGTTTATCTCTTCCGGTATACACGATGTCTGTTTAGTGCTAGAAGTGAACTCCTCGGCAGTAAATACTCGCAACTCCGCTAGGAACCGAATTCATAACCATCAGATTTGGTGGAGAATGCCTGAACATTAAAAGCAATCGGTTATTATCCTATTGTACACTACATCAACTAGAATCAATTCGCGATATGACGCGGCGATCTTTCAATGTCGTAGCTGAAAAGCATTTCATTGATCTAAATCAGACTACCATTGGTAACCTGAAATCACTGGACAGCCTTTCCATCCTATTATGAGACTCCTTAGGAGTGGGCATCCACAACCCCTCATGTGGAAATGGAGCCCAGGGACTTTGATCTCGCGTATGATTGTTTGACCTCCAGACCACTGAGCTGACATCCAACGGTGTTAATGTTCAACCTCAATTACTTCAAGACATTGGTAGACTGTCTTTACACATGCAACGTCGTGGAATCGCACTGTTTGGGAGTTCCATACTTACTGATGATTTCAATGAAATTCAACAATCTTCACAACCCCATATTGATTGATGATTTAATGATTGTTAGGACATTCATGTTTTTCATTTCTTCTTGATATCTGTTGAGTGGACAGTTATCTTTCATCCTCTTTATATGAATGTACAGCTTAAGTAAATGATTTCATTGAAAAGTGAATACTCTTTATTTTTATTCACTGACACAATGGATTACATTAATTAGATTTGTAAGACATGTAAGAACACAATACATAATTTGATTCATATGAATTAGTTTATATCTGTTACAACTTGTGAACCTCTGTGCCCTGTTCATATATATCACACGATATGATCGCCTGTTTGACTTACCGACTTATTGGTCCTTGAGATAGAAGCTTTTCGTCTAACCCAGCAAATTCAGTTTAGAATACCAATATCAACGTTCGTTATATGAATCATGTATTTCCGATATACTTAGTTTACATATACAAGTCCACCATACCATAACATAGAAAATAACAATTATACAAGATCAAGTCAAAAAGTGTCTGTGTTTGTGAGAAACTGTGACTGATGGATTGAGAATAGTAAATCGTGTTTAGTTTCTTAACAGTTATACAATAAGAAGTTACCCATAATTTAATCTACGCTTATATATAACAATATCATAAATACTTACTAATTTACTCCTGTTAACCCTTCTCCAGGAGCATAGGTCAACCACCAGCATTTGCCATCGAACTCTATCCTGGACAATCTTTTCCATTTTCTATTCATACTTTTCATGTCCACTTCCAATTCTCGAAGTAGTGTGTTCTTTGGTCTTTTGTTTTTCTATTTCCTTTCAGGATTTCAAGTTAGCAATTGTTTCTATCATAAATGAATAACGAAATTATAAAATTCCATGAAATGCTATGAAACTAAATTCACTTGGTATTGTTTTACTTGACTCTTTGTATTGATATTTAGGACTACAATCGATCAGTCTCTTATTGGCATATATACATACTGTGTGTATTGCCTCAATATTGCCTTAATTCACAAGCATTATAAGCAAAGATGCATAGTGGTTAGCAATGGAATCAAGGATGCATGTTCCATTTTATTTGGAACTCGTCACTACTGAGTCCGAAGTGGATAACGCGTTGGCATTGGAATCGAATAGTACTGAGTTCAAGTCGTGGAGTGAACATCAACTCGGAGATGAAAGAACATCCAGCTGTGACAAGTTCTAAATAGAAAGAAACGCGCATCAAACTAGGTCCCACTACTATCTACTATCCATCTTTGCTTACTATAAAACTATTTCTTTTCATAATTATATGTATAAAATAACATATACTGTTTTTAATTATGAAATGCATGTTTATTTGTTTTGTTTTGTTTTGTTTATAATTTAGACAAACTATTGTAATTTACTTTTTTTCTCTTGAAGACACAAAGTAAAAGCCGAAATTTATTTAAACATTATACATAAGATTTATTATTGTTTATATTTCATGTCAGTTAAATGATCAAATCAAGTGGATCAGTTTAAATTGTATATTGTGTTCAATATAGATTGATGTTAG